TTGATTTTCTTAGTAAAAATACCTCCATTGAAGACAGCCTTTCCTGCTTGGTGGGTGTTAATACTGTATATGCCCCACAAAAACAGTATTCAGTCAAATTCACAGCCACAATGCAAAATCTATAAAAGAGCTGAACAGAAATCAGAAATTGCAGCATTATCCTACTCCAATATACCTTGTAGTGACCGTATATAGGATGCTGACCTCCTGAGGACACATATAGACCACAGCAGCCAAGATCAACACAAGGCACTGTCTGACCCAAAACTGCTGCCACTACCACCATTCAAATTTTTTTGGGATGGTTAATTCCATGCAAGGCTTCACAGAACTTTATGAGTGGGACCTTGGAAAGCCACCCTCAATGACTGCACCTCCAGGGACATCACAATATTAACTTACTGATCAGATTAATTGAAATGTTCTGATTTAGAGCCCCCCTGCAGTTTCTGCTAATTAGAACAACCATGCTGAGCCCTAAGCACCTTCCATACACAAGTTCAGCTGGTTTCCACATAACCTAATATTTTCAGTTAGGAGGTACCCATTTCTATAAAACTAAAAATTTGGTTGATTTAGCTTTATAACCTATTTTTGCAATGAGGTAAATTAATAGAGGAAGCCACGTCTTACTAACAGGATGGAGAATCCAAGAGTAAATAAATAGGATGCAATGCAATAGAGATACATATATACCAATATATATGTATATACCAATATCATAGTAATAATTTTGGGATAATATTTACTTTATGGCATTTTTTAATTCTAAAAGAACACCTCTGCACTGAGACAATGCTTTACTGTTTAGTTTTTCTTTAATAAAATTGAAAACAATATCTACCAGGCAAGACACACAAACTGAAAGTGATTTCTAAAGATCCTTTCAAAGCTGTATGAAATATAAGCTTTGTCTCAAAAAAGTAGAATCAGTCATGCATTCAGGAAAAAAAGATATTTTATAAGGTACATTTTAGAAGGGAGAAACAAATAGCTATTATATTATTGCATACAAGTCCCATTCTGAAAGCTGCATTTTTTGTATTTGATGTTAATATTGTTTCTATGCAGCTGAAAAGATTATATACAAAACAAATGGGGGCTTTACATGGCCTTTATATGATTTGCTTTCTCTCATTGTTTAGCTTGTCTGTTTCAAGAAAATCTTTAGCTACTTGTCTCTATTTAGGAAGAGATGCTGTAAGCACTAATGTGAATTATTACATTAAACTGATTTACTGAGCATAATTTTGAATATTGATTAAATGTTTTAAGCATTAGTGAGAGAGTTGGTTGGGGACAGGTGAAATAATTTAACCTGTTGAATACTAAGCCAGATAGAATATCAAGGAACACAGAGAAGGAAATGTGCCTTATCAACTTATCAAGAGAAAAACACAAACTCTTAGCAATGTACTGTTAGCCTTTAAAACTATTACAGTTATGCCTAAAACAACTAATATGGCCTTGGATAGTCAAATTAATTTTGACAAATATCTAGCTTTTCTCGCAAATAAATTAGAATGTGCTGCTGTAGTACAAGAATTCTTCTCACTGTAAAGAAAATCAATGCTGTAACCTTGTCAAGTGAAGCACCATACTTGAGTTTCAATACAAAATAAGGAGTATGTGGGCGAGAGTGATCTTTGATCCTGGAATGACTATAAGCCTCATGTGCAGAATATTTTAAGTGCTTGATTTCTCCTTCTGAGAAACATTGCCAGGTTGTGTGGCAAAGTGAAAAAAAATGTGTCTGGATTTCAGTGTGGATGTGTGGATTTCATGTGTCTGCTTTGTCAAGAATTGATTATTTTAATTCTCTACTTGTAAGAGATTCTAAAACACTTAACAGGTTAGAATACTTAACTTTGACAGCTGACATCCCTGTTCGGTCTCTTGCAAGTGATCACTTAACTTTTGTCTAGTTTCAAGTGGATTTAAAATGTTTCTGTTTACCTACAACATTGTACGTAGAATGCCTTCCCATTATCTAGTGTTACTCTGATTATTCTTGTTTACTATGTGTATGTGTCTGCTGCTCATCTACACTCAGTTGGTTATGGAACTTTTTAGAGCAACGCCTCAAAAAATAAATCCCAAAAGAAGCCTGGGAATCTATAAATGTACTTTTTCAGAAAGCTTTTTTGTGATTGTTTTATCTTTTGTATCTTCTTTTTTCTCTTGGCTTTGTGATCTTCTTAATTTTATTCTGTGTAATGTGCTTTTAATGTATTGTAAAGCACTTTGACATGATTGCCTTTGAGATGATTAAAGGTGATACATTAATCAAGTCCAGGGACTTCACTTGCTACTCTTCTTCTGTGCTCATCCTGCAGAAACAACATTCCCGCAGGACAAAGTAGGATAAGATGTCCTCTTGCTACTCAAAAACAAAATCAGACATCCACAACAGAAGCCCTCTGCAAAAAGGTCCTGACCACAACAGCAGCAAAACCAAAGATCACCACCATCCCCCCATCTGCACCACAGACCTGAGTAGTAGAGAGCTCCATATAAAGAATCCAACATAGCCCTGAATCTAAAGGAGCAAGAGGAGGGAGTGTGTAGACTCCAGTTCTGTCACGATTGTAATCCCTCCTCCTTAAGGGCGCTCCGGCTCGTTCACATTTTAGTTTATTTTGTGCACCTGCTCCCTGTTCCAGCCTCCCAACAAAAGCCAGATGCTCATCCTGTTCCAGGCTCTGCATTGGAACACAGATGCACGAAGACCCAATACCACCAAGTCGCCCTATGTCTGTGTCTTGAGGGCAAAGGCCTCCTTAGAACCAGCTGAGTCCGGGACTTGGAGCACCTGGTCCTGTTCCCCCTTTTTGGGGATTGGATCCCGCTCCGGCTTTTAACTTTGTCTTGTCTGTCTCGGATTGGATCACCTGGCTCTGGACTTTTGCCTGTACTGGATTTCCCTTTCGGACTCTCTTTGGACTGTTTGCCTTGGGCCACGCCCCCCCCCCGAGCACCAAGCACCGAGCACCTTCGTCATGCCCCTTGTTCGTCTACCAGCCCAGTTCCTTGTCTCTTTCCTGTGTCTGTTCACTCCCTTCCGGATTGTGCTGTCAGCACAGGGTCCTGAAAAACTCTTCGTAACAAGTTCACACTAGATGACATTTCTAAAAATATGGTATCAACATACATTTTATTCACATTTTTGGGGGGATTTTCCATTTACGTTTATGCTTATTTTAATGTATTTACTATTCTGCAGTATACTTTACTGAAATTAAACTTCACAGGGTGAAGTGGACCTTGAAACTCAAAATATTTTTGCACCTCTAGATTTAAATGGAGATACCATTTGGGTCATAAACAATGTCTTTTCCATTGTTATTATAAGGAATGGGTAAAAGGCAGGTACACCCTGAATTCGGCTACGGTTCATCACAGGGTAGACACATTTACACACTTGACACAGCACAAACACACGTACACCTACAGCCAATTTTACCAGAAGCCAATTAACCTGCAAGTATGTGTGTCGACTGTGGGAGGAAACCAAAGCACTCGGAGGAAACCCATGTGAACACGGGGAGAACATAAAAGCTCTACAAAGCTAGCACCCCAAGTCCAAAATTCAGAGCCCCAGCACTGTGAGGCAACAATGCTAACCACTGTGCCACCATTCCATTCAAAATCTGTATAGTATATTATAGTATATTTTTAGTTTTTTTATATCTTTTACATTTATATTTATTTTTGGGTCAAGTGGAATAGATGTTCTGTCTAGTGACATGGGCTTAGGTCAGACAAATGGGATGTTGAGTGCTAATATCTTGTAAGACACTAGTGTGGTTCTCGTTGATCCTACAGTACTTCTTAAGTTCCTAAATACCACTGTTCTCCTTCAGTTACAGAAATTTGCATGATATCTGGTACAGGATTTTCAAGTATGTATAAAATCCAACTTCATCAAGAAAGAGCAAAATCTAACACAAAATATATAGTCTGGCTGTCACTTTTTAGGGCTTTGTATGTATTACTTATAAAATCTAAAAGCAGAGTGGGAGGAAACAGTGACGGGCACTGATTTGCTAGAAATGGACAATAAAGTAATGAAATAGAAAACTAAAAAATTGAATTTTATTAAAGCAAAATGGTGTGTTTTATGTATTATAACAATCAACAGCTAATGACAAGTGGTGCTGACAAGAATTAGATTTAGTCCCTTTAAACCATTTTTGGCATTTTGTGCACTGTGCATCTGAAGAAATTAATCTATTTTCCAGCTGAAAACTGGGAGATCCCCAGGGAAGATAGACATTGTATCTGAGCTCTTCCAATTTGATTAATATCTAGTGTTTAGCACTGTCACACAGGGGAATCAACCTTAAAAATAAATATAATTGTATATTATTATTTATCACACTTGCAAAGAATGATGTAAAAGTACAGCTATTCACACTATAATTTGGGACACAATGTCCATGTCGTCTAATGTGAACAGAAGCTATGAAGAGCACTTAGAGCACAAATATTGTTTCCAACAGATGTACTGAATACTCTATGGATTTATATCATATCATTTGACAATCTGAAATATTTTGGTAAATTCTAATCAATCCAAAGCTTTATATATGCATATATACAGTATACAAGCATGATATTGTATATAGTAGATGTATTTGTTTTTGCAAATGTGAAAGGACAGCTGTTCAGACAAAGCAAGTTTACCGTGTTGGTAGTTATGACATTTATCTTCCCTTAGGAAAGAAAGACAAAAATGTACTAAATTACTTTTGTCCACAAATCTCTTCTGCTGACCTGAAGGCACAGAGCTTTACTCCAGCTGCTTCCCCAAATGACTCACTGTGGAAGAAAACATACTACCACTTATGGCCAACATATGAGAAGAACACCATCTCCAATATCCAATATCCACCTTCCAATATCTAACATATATCTAAAATGTTAATGTTTTTGATAAGAAACATATATTGAAATAAAAATGATAATTATACTTCTTTTATATTAATTTATTCCAAGTATCCTAAAGGTAAACATATTAAAATAATGTTTATGTGAAAACAAATTTAAATGATAACAAGAAAAAAAAGTTATATTCAGTAGTTCAATGCTCTAACAAATTGCAGAGTACAGCACCTATCTAATGCAGTAAATTATAAAGTTGAACAAAAAAGCATTATGAATTAAAATCGCCTCTTCAGATTGAAAAAGTGCAGTTTGGATCTGCAAGTAAGATGTATAGAATCCTGGATGTTTCTAAGTGGCTGCATACAATTGGTGCAAACAAGGTAGGGTATAATTATTTGACAAGGATTCTCTTGCAGGCATGCTGTGCTATCTATGAGGGGTGTCCTTCTTCTCCAATTGGTGCTGAACCTCTGATCGCCTGCGGTGCCTGTAACACATCAAAAGATGAATGGTTTGAAGGTGGCTAGTTGGAGGGATGTGCCTATACTTCCTAAAACAACAACAAAAAATACATTTAAGTATAACAAAATGTGATTGTAGCCTGAACTTTAGTTCAATATCAAACAGCACAGCACTGTATATGGATTACAAAGCAATGAGTTTGTAGTGTTTACAGGTGCTCAGTGAATAGGCAAGTTCTACAGAAGCACCAGAAGGTGGAACTTGGATCTTTCAATTGTCACATAAGATAAGCTCACTTTATTAGCCATATACAATTTCTTGCATTAGGAATCTGTCTTTTTTGCATACCCAAGCTTGCTCTCCATGAGACACACAGACACATACTGTAGATAGTGAGAGAAGCTTGGGGTCAGAGCGCAGGGTCAGCCATTGTACAGCGCCCCTGGAGCACCTAGGGTTAAGGGCCTTGCTCAGGAGCCCAACGGAGTAGGATTCCTTTGCTGGCCACGGGATTTTAATCAGCAACCTTCCAGCCACAGGCGCAGATCTTTAGCCACAGTGCCACCACTCTGTCCTCAAGTACATGTAGCCAGAGGAGAGAGTACTAGAGAATAAATGTATTTAGCATTTAGAAGAGTGAGAAAAAACATAACTAGCTGGACATTAGAAATTGAAAAAACAAGTTGAAATGGGACTGGAGATCAGAGGAGGCAGATGTTATGCCTGGGTGGGTCAGAGCTCCCAGTCTTCAGTTTTCATGGGAACCTCGACCCAGACCTAGTAAAGCAGGTTCTCTCAGCCACCAGCCACCAACTGATGAACAATCAACCAAGTGTTTCATCCCCTTTTACCACTGCCCCGGTGCTCTGTTATTGAACTACTCTGGTCCGGTTAGTTCTCGCACACCAGAACTTCTGGTTTGCGTACAAAACAAGCTCATTCTTTTGTCTTTATTAACTAGAGCCCGTTCCAGTCCACGACTATTCCTGTGTATCCTGAACCACCAGCCCTGTTATCTGAATCGGCACCGGGACAGTGGCAGTCCTGTGGGTCTGTTCAATTCTCTGATTTGTCAATCAACCTTTGTCCATCACCCCTCACCTACACAAGTCTTGGTTTTAACTTTTAGCTCTTTGTTTATCTCCATTGCCAGCCATCCTTTCCATCCCTTGGCTGGGAGCTTTTCAACACAAAACCACGGCATAACAGTAGAATGATGGAGAGAGTGATATTCAAGAGCAAAATGAAACTGGAAGTAGAGATATAACTTCAAGAGTTCAAAAAGTCAATAAATGCATGAAATAAATATGATGCAAGGAAAATGTGAAACGAAACAGAACAATGTAGAAAGAAAATTGACCTTGGCATGAGAATGAGTATCATAAGCAGTAGAGAAAATGCAGATCATGTAGGTGTTAGCTAAAACAACAGCAACAGAAGAGTGGTAGAGTATACAATAGGAAAGAGAAGGAGAGAGTAAGAGTTAGAGTTCTTGGCAGAGGAGATAATAAAAATAGGAATGGACATGCCAACAGAGAGGGAGGAAATAAAGGAAGAAGGTAATACAAAGTAAATCAGATATGAGAAAGGATGAGCTAAAAGTGGTACATGTTTACAGGTATGTAGGAGGAGAAGGTTGAGAAGCAGTAAGATGTTCACATACAAACAGGGATACAGGAGGGAAAAGAGAAGGAGTTATGTGCATTGTCAGCATAGACAGAGAAGCCATGAGAAGACATTAGTTTTAAAAAAGCATAGAAAGAGAAAATACGAGATCTCAACATCCAACCTAAGGAAACAGCAGAATAAGGTGAAAGGAGATAGATGCAATGTGACACAATTTAAGGGACAGTCAGACACAAAGATTAAAAGTGAAACAGAATAAAAAAAACAAGTGGAAACTAAAGGGAAGTGTGTTTAGTACTGTGATCAAGAGGCTCAAACAATGCATAGATTTCTGCGGGCAAAACAAAAATATAGGCATCTTCTACTGTATGTATTTATTAAAGGTTTCAACCAATCCTTTAATACTTGTTAATATATTTTTGGAAGATAGTTTTTGAATATTCCAGACACATACATGTCCTAGGATAAAGCCTGGAACAATATACGCTCTGTGTTCAAAAATTCAAATTGTTGAATGATTCAGCTTTTTTCAGAGTGTACATGACCTTTCATATACTGTACAGTATGTTAGCATTAGAAACTCATCCCCAGTTACTTGTCCTAGGGCACTATTGTCACTTTTTTACACATTTTGGAAGTATCTGGATGTGGGTAGTTTTGGAGACAAGTTTCTTCTTCTGTGTCAATCATTCTAGATGACAGTACGCCTTGTTTGTGCCTAGAACTCTTGTTAAATGATGACTGCAATGAAAAAGTTGTTGGTGATTTGTTTAGAGCCCCCTTATTCCCTTCCCTGGTATCATTAGATCCTGAATTTTCTAGTGTATCAGTTTTATTATGTTAGACTTTCTTTTTCTTTTTTGTTCATTTATTTTTGGGTTTTGCTGTACTTACAAGTTATCATATCTATTGTACTTACAGTACATTTAACATAAACTTTCTATACATTGGATGTTGCCCTAGTAACAAGAATGTCTGCTAGGCAAGTGAATAACAACAAAACAACAACATTTAACATACTGTATACAACAAATGCTGAATAAAAGTAATTTAATCTTATACTGTAAATAAATAGCACCAGGTAATGAACATTAACATTTATATTTATGTTTAAGAGACATATTTTCAGCAACGCAGACATATTTACATGTCCTTTTCTTTGTTTTACACCATAGACCTTTTTACTACAATAAATGAAAAGCAGGCTGACTGCTTTGTGGCTACACCAAGCTAACATCGTGCTTTTTCTCCATACATTGTATGGTACTACTGTACCTAGTTAATCAGAAACATGCTACAACAGATTTTGCCGTATTTTCTGCTTCAGGGTGACATTTGATAAGCACTATATGAGTCATTTAGGAAAGCCCCATAAAAACGTTTGACTGGAGGAGAAAGGTTTTGGTTCTGTAAACTCTGTAGCTTTTTCCATGTGTTTACATATAAGCATACACCAAATGAAGAAAATACCATATATCTTACACAATTAATTAGTGCAGCTGAAAATTCTTTGGATACCACAAAAATAGAACTGAGAATCTTATTGTATATGAGACAGAATGAGCAGAATCCCCTGTGAGAGCCTTGTTAAATTTGCTTCTATCTTTGTTGCAGTACATTCAAACATAAATGACACACAAGAACACTGACAACATTTATTTAAAAATGATTTATAATTATATTTGCCATATTCAGAAAAATACTACAATTATACGTTGTCACCAGTAATGGAGGTGATAACAATACCAAATGACAGCAATGATTGCCCAAACAATAGAAGGATTTTCCTTTCTCCCTGTATTATCTTTTAGTCATAGAATACTTTGATTATTTTATTCGAAGATGTAACATAACAATGTATGGCATGTTATTTGAAGCAAAGATATTTCTAACAACAAAAAACAAGCATTTAGTTTCCTCAGTCACCTATATGTTGATTATGTTGACTCAGAAGTATACTATTCAGTAGAGACTGATTAAGAACTTAAAAGCATTGTTTTTAAGGTTTTTGGGTGTCATTATCTGATTCCAAAATCATAATTTGTTGTAATAAATTTACATGACCAACCAAACTTTTTTTCTGATGTTATTATATATACATAAGCCACTTTTCGTGAATCAATAGGATCAATATTATAGCTGATTTCTCATAAGGACTAAAATCGAGATTGATTTACTGAGCACTAAATATATGTGCTCCATATTTTCTCCTTTTCTGCTTGTTCCAATTTCTTAATGTTTTCCTTTAAGCAGTTCTAATAGTGCTAAACATCTATGGAGTTTTAGTCTAACCAGTTTTAATTAAAAAAGGAGATGAAGCGTTCAAATCTTTTAAACTGCCAAATGATGTTGGCTGCCTTTCCAACCAAGTCATTCACCGTTCTGTTATGGTGCAGTCTCCTGTCGGCTGTTACCAGGTGATAACCGCTTGTGATACATTGATTATTAATGAGGAAACTATTTCCCACCTGCGCCTCATGTGGCTTTGTGTTAAACAATGTAGTGAAATTGTGAATCACCTGCCTTTCTAAAAAATCAATTCTACTGCAGTTTGTTTTGTTCCCTTGACAATATGGCATTTAGTAAAATTGAGTATTGGAGTATTTAGATAATTTCTAAAAAAATGCTTTAAATATTCCACGTCATTCTAAAAAGGAAACAAAAATTGGGATAGCAGTGAACAATAATTATCAGAGAATCAAACCTTGATAAATATATTTTAAATATATAATTTTGTGTCATGAATATCTGTTCATTATTTTCCTTGCCTTTAAAAGCTAAGATGAAGGAGAAACACAAAGAACAATTTCTGGGTGTACTTAATGAGTTCTGATGTTTTTTTTTTAATAAATATAACACTAAGTATTATTTTTAAGATAGTTATATATATATATCTTAATGATGAAAATATATAATTCTGAAGACATTATTGGATATCTAGTGATCTGACTGTGCAAGAAAGTACCATGCATTTATACTTACTTCATTAAATTTGTTGTTTCCTTGTACCCACTGCACACTTCCTGAAATTATTTGTGAATAATTTATATCACTTTACTAAATAAGGCTCCTGGCAGTTCATTCAAATTGAGTAGGTCATGAGTACATTTTCTGTATAGCTGAGAAAAATGAGATTGAAAATTGACATCTTGCATTCTGTTAATAATTCATTTTGTTTGAATTGTGTCTTTTTGCATTATTAACATCATAAAATAATACAAGTGAAATAAATTTTATGTACTGTACCCACCCCTATACAAAACGATTCAATGATAACAAAAATAACACGATATACAAGCTTTTGTCATCAGCCTGAATTTTAGATGCATAATTTAAATGAACTTAAATGAATTACACATTTTACTTTTCTGTGTTATTATTATATGATTATTAAAATATCTCAAAGGAGTGAAATGGTAGCCCTCAAATACATTTGGTACTGTATCAAGGAGCAAATGTTTTTCACTATGACCAGCACCTATATCTCAGCATGGAATAAACCTTTACTTGTTCCTTTGCTGATATCACATCTGCTGTCAACTGCAGTTCAATCGAAACTTCTGTACTGTTTTTATAATATGTTTACATACTTTAAGCATGTGTTTTTAAAAAAAATAAAATACTGACATAAACAACTGGCACAATGTAAGTCAATAACACTAGATTCAACCCAAACAGAAATAGCTAGATATCAATCACTTTGCAACATCCTAGTAAGGATAAATCTAATAGACTGTGAAAGATACATTTCCCCTATGAGTTATTGCCGTTGTGCTCTTTACCTGATGCGGTTCTGGGGGGGGGGGGGGGATTTCATCCTATTCTTAAAAAATACCACATTAGTCTTTACTAGGGAAGCCAGCTGATGTGATTACTTACTAATACTACAAGTGCCCTGTAAAGTCTGAAGCCTGGACTCTGGCTCTATAGGTCAGACTAGGAATGATACAATTGCCTCTTTGAGACAAAACAGTTCTTCACCCTCAGAAGTGTCACAATGATTTAACTTGCCATGCTTGCAAGTGAACTCACTTCCAAAGCTTAGTGTAATGTGGTAGTGTATTACTGTATAACTAATATCTTACAAGATGTGTGTAATGGGGCTGAAGACATCATGGAAGGATGTATCTACATCCTCCTGGTAATCCTGATGACACTGTTGCTATGTTCTGAGAGAACACCAATGTACTGCGTTTGACTTGTGTCCCGTCCAGAAAGGGATTTTTTCTCTATGAAGGATGTCACAAATCATCTGACCTCCTACTTCACTTCAGTATCATCTCATGTGTGGTATCTTTACAATGCCTTGCTATAGGAGCAGCAGACCTTTGCCTTAACTCAGCTTCCCAAGTGGTCCACATAACTCAGAAGAATGAATAATACTGCTGTAGGACCCTAGTTACAGTTACTGTGAACTTTCACAGTGCATGGTGTTCTAGGACAGATTTTAATGCATTTACCTGGTCAGCAGGTTCTCCTTGTTAGAATTTCTATATTTCTATGTATTGATGTTTCTAACATCAAAAGGTCACAAACACGCAGAAAGGTATACCAAACTTTTAAATGCAGTGGGTACAAGAACAATGTTTTTGCCTTACTGTATAGCCCAGTTTCAAAAACAATCCTAATAAGCAAAAGCATTTTAATTATTCAAATTATATAATATTAATGTCTTACATTTGAACATTTTAAGACTTGACTTATATGCTAATCTTGTATTGATTTATTTATTCAGTTTTATACCACACATTTTTTATCTTTAATATTTAAAGTTACCTTAGATAAAGACATTAGTAAAAATACTAAGTATACAATTGTGTTAACCATTTCTCTAATCATACATACAGTATTTTGTATTTATCTTTGAAAATTGCTATGACTTAATGCACTCAAAAAAGTATGGATATGCAGCATGGAAACTCTATTCGAAAGGGGAAATCCTGTTTTGGTTAAAGGCAGTGAACCCTTACAAAATTCTGCAAAGTGTGTAACTGATGGTGCATTAAAACATTAATGATAAAGACAAAATTAAAGAGTAAAATACTCTGTAGAGGCCCAAAACTATTTTTTAGAAGAAGGATTTACCAAGAGATCTTGACCAGCGTACTGTAGCTAAATTTGGATTTTTTAAAAATTTGACGTCATTTGTGGTGAAGTCTCACTGAGGATAACGAGAAAGAGACCTTCAAACAGGACTGCTAGTGTGCTATTCATGTTGAAGGTAAAGGGAAATAAGAAGAGAAATGAATGTGCTAGTAAAATCTGAATATACATTATGTGTAGGTTGAGTTAGGCATGATTAAAACATGATGCTCTGTAGTTTTAGAATGTTATGCTCTCCCATGCAATGTGTTCTCTCATAATAATCAACAGTATTGCCAGTGTGCCCAGCCAGGCAGCCTGCATTCTTGTTCTGTTGGACTACATTCCTCAACACATTGCTCAATCCAGTGCTCTAGTGTTCTATACAGTACGTACCTCCTCCCACCTCCTGTAGTGTGAGCTATGAATAAAGAAAGGCTGTCTGGCAGTCTGTAGGCCACTTCACTCAAAAACATGGTATTTCAGTCCACAACTATGGTCCTTTGTGTGGGGTGGTGTTATTTTGTCTTCCCCACCTGCAAGACAACACCTGAGAAATCCAAAATAAATTGGACACATCTTGTTCCTGAAAGTAAACATCCTGACATCACTTGCTTACAGCAGTGGAGATATTAAAAAACACAGCAAGAAAGAGAAAGACGAAAACACAAAAAACTAAGCTGGACTGTGCTAGTTATGCTGGTTAAGAGTGATTGCAACATGACAAAAACTAAAATTTAAAACAGCAGAAAATATTTTTTAAGAAATAGCAGCACAAGGCACTATGGTATATATGGACATAAAGGTTTGATCATGACATTTTACAAACATAACCATTTGTGTGTAATATTGTTCATTAATCTTTTAGATCTATTTAATTATTTATTATTCAATTTCAGTATCAGAACACTCTAGCAAGTTATACAAGTTAACACCATTAGTTTTCCATTCTGGATGTTTTTTTGGAAACCACTTAATATGCATTATATAAGTCCCATAATTTTGAATGGCAAAACGTTTAAGTGGGAGCAAACTGAAAGAAGGTCTCAGGTTTTTCTGTTAGCTGGCTCAGCATTATTAAATTGGAGAAGCAGGCTATTGTACGCACAATACTGGGGTAATTTGAGAGAGACCAAAGCTAGATTCCAGGTAGCAAAGATTAAAACTGAACACAGACAAAAATTAGATCATGCCAGCTATTCATTATCGGAAAGCCACATACTCTTGGTAAGGACCACAGGAGCCTGGAACGTATTCAAGAAGCATAAAGTAAATGTAAGGTAGGACACCAGTCCATGTCAGGATACACACACAAGCACACAGGGACAATTTAGATCCTAGTCCTGTTGGGAGTACTGTTTTGTTACAGTTTTTCCAGTTCTCCTTAAGTTGTTGCACCTATTGTAGAAATTGCTAAATTTGTACAATTATGTCACGTTTGATAAGGACTAAGTTCCAATGAAACCCTGCAGACATCCTGGCCCTCCAATTGTGGAAACCCACAATTTAAAAACACCAATTAACCCAACTAACCCAAGGGGGTACATAGCGTGTTTTTGGGAGATGCGAGGAAACTTGTATTCTACTAAATCAGTTTTTATTTTCTTATAAAGTTAACAGTATTTTTTTTACCTGATCTACTGTACTTCTTGGTCTTTTCTTGTGTTTCCAGGCGCCGATCGGATCGACACAATAACGTTACAACTACACAATATCTTCTGGAAGAATATCTAAAAACAAAACAAATGTAGCTTTACCGGGGCAATATGGTAGTTTTTAAGCAACACGATAAAATATTCAGCTGATTGGAAAATTGTTTAAGGGAAGATCGGAATTACTCGTATGTGCTGCACCACATCAAAACAGAACAGTGTTCGGAATAACAACAGGAATCAATGGCACTTCGGGCTCGTTTCTCAAAGCATATTCAGGTTACGTTATTGTGCATATCGGTTCTAAAACAATAATTCTTTTCAATTACAAATACAAACGTCTAAGAGCGTACTTTAAGCTAAATGTGAAATCTTGAACAAACAGAATGCGATTTAGTTTTAAGGCTGCATGTTTTTTTTATTTGATAATAAAATTATCAAATTAAGCTTGGAGCTTTAAAATTACAGAGGCTTGTGATATTCCTAAGTATACATTTGATGCTACTTTTCTTTTAAAAACTCCAAAATAGTAATTCTCTGGGATGCTAAAATAAACGGAGAATCCCTGCTTACATGAAACTGTCACCGTATTTGCCATTCCTGCTTGCGCGGAAGGATATCACCTACTTATCCAAGCAAAATGTAATGGAAACCCTAGGAGTACAACCAACCCTATTGCGAACTACAGGTTTCTAAATACGTATTTGTATTGACGTTTCGCATTCGCCAATAAAGCGTCTATTATGTGATGACGTCTAGAAGGCGGGATTTAAACCCATCAGGTTGGTGTGCGGAGAAACCTCAGTGTAGTCAGCGCTGCACTGGGCTTCGGTGTGAATGTGCTGCTGACATAAGTGAATAGAGATTCCCGGCCACGTAAGTACTATTAATACACAGCGGGAGATGATGTCTTGCTGAAAAAAGGGATAGGCCTGGGAAAGATTGGCCATCCCTTCTTAGCAGCTAAATAAAATTCGATTTTTCCCAGCAGTGTTTTGGATAAAAACGAGTTTTCAGTATAAGACATCGGTTTCAAATCAAGAGGAGGACTTGCAATCTAGCATCATTTTCTGTTCTGCATGGAGATAATCCTGGGAGGCCCGTGAACGCTACCGGAGCACAGGGAAATCTGAAACCACTGGTCTAGCGTTATGCTTGTTTGCACTTTCTTTGCGTTGCATTATATGTGGATACTCAAATCTTCGTGCATAACGTGCGAATTTTACTTTTTTTGAACAACGGATAGCGTTTTTGCAGCATTGAAGCTTGCACTGAGTTGCTTTTGTAAATTCGTTTAAATTTAGAATAGTTAGAGCAATTCAAGAAAAAAAAGATCCTGACGCCATCTAGGGCTGAGAACTTGGTGCTATAGTACAGTAGTTACCTGACATTCATTGTTTCTGTATCTGAATCAAATTAGTTTCAATCCCATTTTATTTGATTTGAGATATGTTAACCAAAGGAGATATTGTAACTCTTTGATTAATCTAAAGACTCTCAAGATCATTAAGTGTAAATCCGGATTTTTTCTTTTGTGCATTCCACATTTTATTTATGTATAAACACTAGCATTTTTATTTGAAGTTGCAACGTTCTACTTTGTGACTGTTAAAACAGTAACAGGGAATACCGTTTACTGTATACACTCAGAAGCTGGACCTTTAACTGTGAGAAACGGTTACGATCTGTGATTCAAGCGCAGTGAATTTATACTGAACAAGGTTCACCCTACTGGAATCCTATTACTCGAAGACAAATTTCGTAGGAAGCACCTTGGTATCGTATACTCATGAACATACAGAGGTCAAGCCCCATTAACATAACGCGTTATGGGAGATCAAGACACAAAAATCACGACTTTGAGGATTTATCTTGTTTGAGGACTACCGAATCGATTCAGAGTTTCAGTCCAAATTTAGGTTCTCCAAGTCCCCCAGAGACGCCTAATTCTTCACATTGCATTTCTTGCATTGGGAAATACCTATTGTTGGAGCCGCTTGAGGGAGACCACGTTTTCCGGGCTGTTCACTTGCATAGTGGAGAGGAGCTCGTCTGTAAGGTAGGCGCTACAGTTCAACACCTTGGTGAAGTAATGCATGCATGTTACTGCATATACAGTATTGTTATCAAATTAGAAGACTAAAACACGCTCATATACCTGTAACCAGTTAAACAGTTACTTAAAACAAACTTGTTCCTGAAATTGCGACTGGTACCTACAATACATGAGGCATTCCAAATGATTGTAAAATGATACAAGAACAACTTGGATATGTTAGTCACATCTTGATGTTTTAGTCCCATTGTTAAAGCATGCATTGGTAGAGGCTGACAGTATTGTGCTGTTCTACTACCAATCTTTATGCCGTGGAAATAAGTCAGACCTCGTATCGGTGTTTAAACCTGTAGTATAAAAAAATAAAACTGCACCCAATATCTATGTAGTGCGCTTGAAAGTAATTATTAATTTACAAGTGTGCTGTTTATTTTCCGAAATTTAAGAGCAGTAGAAAATATTAACCGATCACTCTTTTTACGATGGATAATCTGTAATGGTGTAATGGGATGGAGGAGATCCATTGATAACAGAAGAACAATGGAGCAAGTGCTATAACCACGCGCCCTAACTAAATTGTACTCTGAGGCTCCGGTGTCCGTGGTATTGTTCTTCATTGTTTACGATTAAAGCTGCCAATAGTTTTATGCATACATCTTATGGCTTTCTTAAGATGGCTATATATTTATGCATTCGTATTTTTCTATAAAAGGGTTTTAATTGGTAGCTGCAGGAGCAGCCCTACATGAAGGCGTAAGTGTACGCTCTGTACCCAAGGCGAAAGCATCAAAGCCTTTGAGCTCGCTTAAGTTTTCAGTGTATCAGAACCAAGACACTAGTGCTTTTATTACTTAACCTTATGAGGTGCATTTATGCAGATGCTCACGGTAAATAAAAGCACTATCCTTACTACAGTATGGTATGTGGACAAAATGCAAGACCTTTGTGTTTTGATAGATTGTCAGAGTGCACACAGTTGTAAAAGGAGGTCCCCTATACCAAACCTATTCAATCGACAATAGTCCTTGTGCATCGGAAATGCCCCCTAAGCATCGAAGCATAATTTGAACGTGTTAGGTCTGTAAAGGTTTTCCACATCAGTATGCATATTGTGAGAGAAAAAATGTTTACTGTACTTCGCCATTATTGCTTGTTTTAGCTTGAAAATGAATGTGCCATAAAGTATCTGGGTTTCTGGCTGGCGCTCCTGACTTTCCATTGTTCTGGCGTGATGGTACAATAGGACATATTTTTAGGTTTACAGTATTATTTCCCCCCATCAGTTAGGTACAGTTTAGTTGGAATTAAATATAATTACGTTTGGACTGCATTAAATTCATCACTGAAATGCACCCTTCCTTTTGCTCCAGCATGTCTTAATGAAGGGGGCACATTTGCAGCATAGAAGACAAGAACCTACTTGTTCTGCACTAGCATGTGATAAGGTGTGAGTCATGCACCACAATTTTCATGAATAAGATTGAATTTCTCCTACATTATTCATACTGATGCCTATTTTATATCTGTCTAGCAACTAATTTAATAAAGAAGTGTAAGAATCGAAAGCCTTTAAAAGGCAGCATATTTATGCAAGTCCACCTTTTCTGATTGCATTTTTAGGTATGTTTCCAAGATTTAACTTTTGTTTTTCTTGCCTAGGTTTTTGATATCGCCCGATATCAGGAATCCTTAGCAGCCTATTTTTGTTTGTCTGGACATGAAAATATCAACCAAATTGTTGAAATTCTTCTTGGGGAAACCAGAGCCTATGTATTCTTTGAGAAGAGCCATGGGGATATGCACTCATTTGTTCGTACCTGCAAAAAACTCAGAGAGGATGAAGCTGCCAGACTGTTCCATCAGATAGCATCAGCCGTCGCTCACTGTCATGACAATGGACTGGTTTTGAGAGATCTGAAGCTGAGGAAATTTGTTTTTAAAAATGAAGACAGGTAAGAGATTGTTTTGTCAAAAGCTTGCAATACCAAGTCTAAGATGGAAATTTTTAAAGAAATTAATTATTTGAATCCTTTGATATTGTGCAACATGTTAAAGTTGATCTTCTTGTACTGTACACTGAGGTGTAAAACAAGTATTATTGGATAATCTGTTTTAAAATGCCTGTAAATTCATTGTACTGCCATGTGGCCATTGTCTGCTGGGTTAGTCTTGGGCTCACTGTGACCCTACATTTATTGAAAATGAATGGAAGGATGCAGATTCTATTTTCCTCTCAATATGATATAGCCCTTGCTATAGCAGTCCTGGAATATCTATCAGTCATTTTTCAATTGGTTCAAAAGAGATTCTTATACAGTACATCCAAGTTTTTTCTTTAAATGGAGTGCATGTTGTGGATAAAAATCATAAGGCCAGTATCAACCTTAAGGCCTAGGAGTTACATGTCAACATGTTTTTAAATTAAATGCATAGAGGACTTGTTACAGGAATTGGATATTTTTTGATGAGATCTTTTAATTTTTTTTAATTAATAGGTGTCTATCAATATCTTTAGCAGTGTACTGTTTGTATGATTTTATTTACTCTGCATGTTATTTTATATTTGAGTATTACTACCAATGGCTCTTTATCTTGTATAGCTTGGTGTTGGAACATTTTCAAACATACGAAAAGGTTTAAAACACTTTGACATTTAATCAATTGATTGCAGTCCCATTTTCCATCGCTATAGAAATATTGACAGTTTGTTTCTCTTATTCTCAAGTCTTTTGCAGCAATTTGTAACATCACATGATCTTTTGAGATATGAGTATAGTTTACCTGAAGTTTCATTAGGCATTATTTCAAAATACTTCGAGTAAGATATTGTGTTAGGTACTCAACGTTATTTGCTTGAATTTGTTTAGAGTTCTAATTCAGTTCATGTGTTTTGTGAAAATTCATCTTTGTTTACACAGCAAGATCTCTGCTTGCAGTAACATGTCAAATGCAGTGGTATTGTAGCAATCTGACACAAATCCCAGATTTAAATTAACTTTTGAAATGTATAAATAAATCGGTTTAAAAAAAACACTGTATTTCTTTATATTTAGGTTTAATGTTTTAGTAGGGAATATAACTACCCATTAGACCCCCTAAACAAAAAGTATAAAAATTCTTCCTGGGCCAGCCTAACAAAGAATTGTCATTGTAAAACTCAAAGTTTGCAGAGAGGACAAGCCCTTTGATTATGCTTGATCAAATGTAAATCCAGGTAACGGGCACCTTTTCTGGAGACGTTAATTCATTCATTTTCTCTCTCCTCCTCCATTAGAAGCTCCTTAATTCAAGTTGGAATCCAGCAGTCTAATTTCCATTTCCAGGCTGTTGTTCCCCCAGTTAGGCAGGTCAAGGCCAAACCAATATTTCAGATAGTTTTCTGAAACTCCTGAAGTGGTACATTCAAGGACCTGGAGGAGAGCATTAATGCATTGTAAAATGGAGCACAAAACAAATTGACATGAAATAATCTAGATTTTGAGTCCTCATTGTGGTGTTCTGAATACTTTTCCTTCAAAGTCAAATGGAGTACCAGTGTTTGATCTGCAAAAGCTAAAGTAAGAGGCTGGATTAAAGGGCTAATGTTCTGCATGTTATCTGAGGACAGAGTGTGTGCTGACGTTGAAGTGTATCTCTTGTATTAATTTGAGAACTGACTACTGAGTTTTTTTTCTTTAAACACTTAAACGCATTTAAAATTGAAACAAGAAACTTTTGACAATTTAAAAATAAAGCTTTAAAGAATAGTACTAAAATCAATTAAAATTATGTTTTTGTCATTTGAATTGGTATTTTTACTTCCTTTAACACTGTACTATTGGTCAGAAGCAATTCTGATCTTAATACAAGGAAATGCATTTTAAAAACGGATTTGATAATGGTTTAAAACATTTAAATATTTATGAACACCCATTTCTAATAGTAAACATCTAGACTATAAATAGGCTACATTGTAGGAACTTTGAATGCTATGAAAATAATACACAAATTGAAAGTGGTCATTTTACAAATTTCAATTTAGAAAATTGAGAGTAGAAAAAAGTGTAAAAAAATACAAAAATGTGCATGTAGGTAATTTCAGGATTAGTTGTATGTTTTGGGTTTTATAATATGCAGCAGACTAAAATATCTTATCACATTAAAGTCTTAGCTAAATGTTGATCAATGTCAGATTTATTTGTAGAAAATCTTAGGATTTCTAAAAAAGAAAAACAGCTGAGATAAACCATTTCATAAATACAATTTGCACTGTATTTTTCAGTCTAATTGTTGAGAGTGAGTTATATTTAGGTACACATTGCTCATATTTATAGTGCTTTTAAAAACAGTCTACTATTTGTGAATGAAACAAAGAATTCTTAAACTTGACTGTTGTATTGATTACTCTTTATGATGTGTTTTACTCAATGCTATCTCATTTTAATGTATATGTGTTTAACCTTTTGCAAAAGAAAAGAAATGTGTTTTTAACATTTCAAAGAAAATACCCTACAACTTCTTAGAAATTCTGTCATGCAATTTGCTGTGCCAAAAATATTGTGGTATAAAATCATTTTCTCTACCGGCCACGAGTTATGTGAGAATCTACAGTATTTTTCATATGCCTAGATGGACAAGAGCATAATTTTAAACTGTGCTTTGATGCATTGTAACAAGAGGATTTTTGTAGTTTTGATGTCCCCATGCTAGGTTTTTTTCTGATTTCAAAATGCCAGTAAAGGTAGAAATGAGTATAATCTGATGTGAACTGAGCCCATAGAAATTCTGACTTTATGACATTAAAGTATTTCTAATTTAGGAGGGGATGCTGGGTAATTGCCTATTTGAAATATGTTGGGAGAAACACAGATTACATTTGACTTTTCTTGGTGATACTGCACCCATTAGATGACTAGTGTTTAGCTCTGAACTTCCCAACACATTTTCTTAAAGATCATTCAACTATTTGCAACCCAAACATGATTGACATGACTGCTGTACTAGTTTACAGCCAAGAAGCCAGATTAAAGTGTCTGTATGATGTATAAAAGTATGATGACATGTATTGGACTGAAGATGTGTTCTGTGAACTCGGAATTGCATGAGCATTTAACTTTGCCGGAAATCAAACAAGAACTGAGCAAGGGTTAAAGGATGATCCAACACAGTCATCTTATAGTTGAGAGTCAGTTTTCCAGTGGAGCTTGACTTAAGTAATACTTTTCATACTTGACCTGTATTTTTTAAAAATCTTTCTGGACACTAGTTGTTTCTAATTGCTTGAGGATTATACACAGAATATGGCATTGATTTAAGTTGTAAAATCATGTATCATGTCACAGACTTGCATGGACTTATCTACATATGCTATTCTAATTATTCATGAGAAATATTAACCCCCCCCTCGATCAGCTCTGAAAGATTAAAGACAATATAAATATTTGTAGCTGAAATATCAAGAATAGTTATCTAGAGTTAGATCTCTGTGATAAAAAAACATCTTAAGAGGGCATATTTGCATATGCTCTCATAAAAAGGGACATTTTGAATTTGTGCTGTTTTCTAAAGTAAAAGCGTTCAGGCCATCTCAAAGCCTATTAAGATGGTAATATTAATTTCTTCGGGGGTTCATAAATTGCCTTACTGATAATAGTGGTATAAAAAATGTTTTTCATCTGTCATGTGACAAACCTCATATATTACATGTACTATAACATTATCAGAAACAGGTAGGGCATGCTTTTTAATCTAATTCAACTAATATTTGAAAGGCATGTTAACGTTATCACCATGGAAACCTATCTGGTTTTTGCAGTGTCATAGTTGTGTATCATTACAACCAGTGATCAGTAGTTTTTTTTTAAACCATTTTAGAGTTGGGAGTTTTGTTAAAAAAAAAAAGCTATAATACTTATGGCCTGGGTTGATAGTAAACTTAATTTTAAAAGATAAATTATAGAAATTCTTAGGCTTTATCACATTGGCTCATTTAATACTGAATTCAAAGTTTTTTTTTTATTCATGTCATTATGTGAACCCTGTTCTTTGATTTTTCTGACAAGCCATACAATTAGAAAGCTTTTAGTCCAAATTCTAAATATGGGATTCCATCAGTAAAGAACAGAAGACCTTTTACTTTTCAATAAAGGAAAATGTGCTGGGAAATCTGTGCAATCCTGTGACACAATGGAGGGTTTTATTTACTTTATGGCTTCCTCTTTTGTTGGACAAAGAGGCATTTCCTGTTTAATGGGTGATTTCTTTGTTCTTTGAGAGTCTGTTTATTGTTCTTGGAGGTAAATTTGAACTCTTTTGAGTGACTTCATTTCAATGATCTGAGAAAGGAGTTCATTTTCATAAGATTAAGGAAAAAAAGCATAAAGTAAAAGTTGAAGTATAGGAAATCAAGAACATTTTCATGCCACAGAAAATCTTGAATGACCTTTGGTTTACATACAGTAGTGTTATAGTTTATCTGCCTAATTTTGGCCAATAATAATGTATCTTTTTTCTTTTATTTTCAGGAGTCTGGTTAAATTGGAAAGTCTGGAAGATGCATATATTTTAGAAGGAGAAGATGACTCTCTCTCAGACAAGCATGGCTGTCCAGCCTATGTGAGCCCAGAGATCCTTAATACAAGTGGCAGCTACTCTGGCAAGGCAGCAGATGTTTGGAGCCTCGGTGTGATGCTGTATACAATTCTAGTTGGACGCTATCCATTCCATGATGTGGAACCTAGTTCTCTCTTCAGCAAGATCCGCCGCGGGCAGTTCAGCATTCCAGAAACACTCACCCCCAAGGCTAAATGCCTTATCCGCAGCATCCTTAGGCGGGAACCCACTGAGAGGCTTACTTCACGGGAAATCTTGGACCACCCTTGGTTTTCTTCAGATATCCATGCCTCTAATTCAGGATATGGTGCAAATGAGAAGGAAGCTTCCGATCAGCTGGTGCCTGATGTTAATATGGAAGAAGAGCTTGACAAGTTTTTCAGCTGAGCAGCACAACAGTTAAACAGGGATGCCTGGCACAGAGGAAAAAAAAAACAAAACAAACTTAAATTGAAGGAGTTTTTCTTCACCCATTTAATGGAATTCTAGATCAACCTAGCTTAGCAGCAGAAGCAAAGTGGGAGTTCCTTTATCGATCTTAGAGAAGCAGAAGGACTTGTGAAATGCAGATGTAATGTAGCAAATTTCTTGAAGTGGTGCTATCAGGTTAGATTGATACTAGCAGAATTAAAGTACAAATGAAAAGGCATATGAGGAAAATCGCTTCTCATCTCAAGGAGACAAGGAGAAGATAAAAACAGGCTGCACGTGCCAGTCAAACTGCAGTGTATCACTCCTTTTCTTTTCTACAAATCGTTTGCAAGTCACAATAAATAACTTTTTGCCTCAACACATTTGGCATCGTACTGTTATGTATTTTGCTTTTTTTTCCATTCAGGTAATTTACTTTTTTTTCTTTCATTGACTAAAATTATTCATTATTTTACATAGGTGCACATGGACCGACACACAATGCGGGTGCTAACCAAATTTTCAGTTTGTCTTTGTGTAGCTACTTTCAGTACTGGTATAAATCTAGGCTCATTTCTGGATAATGTGTTTTGTATACTTGTCAGCTAGTGACATTTTTAAAGCTTTGTTCCTAAAAGGGGAAGTAACTTATTTAACAAGCTTTTCTGCTTTTATTTCAACTGCCTTTGTTGCAGTAAGCTATTACAATACAAACTTCCAGTTGTATAACTGCTACTGTAGTATCTTAAACCTTTTTTTTTCTTACTGAAAATATACAGGGTTCTGAAATAGCTTCCAGACCTGCCATCATGCACTTGATTTGTATAGGCGGAATAATAAGAAACAAAGGGGCTGGTCAAATGAGGTGTCAATGTTTAGAATAGGAGAAACTATTAGGTAATTTAATGTGTTGGCACCGAAGACAAATTTACAATTTATTTTGAACTATTATATTTAAGAACATACAGGTATTTGTTTCGGGTCATATAAACATGAAGATGATGTGTGGGCACACAGTCAATGCATGACACAGGGCAGGCATTTAAATGAAAAGCAACAATGAAAAAAAATCTGTCCGAAGCTTAGCTTATGCCAGTATTTAATGTTTTTCTGTCTAGCTCCTAATTTGAGTTTAGGCACTTTATTTCTTAATAATTTAGACAGTTGGCACAGATTATTTAATGAAGGCTCTATAGGCATTAAAAAGCAAGTGATACAACCATGGCTTATCATTAGAATTGAAACCCTGTTTCCCTAAAAAGAGATTCAGATGTTTACTTCTACTTGATGCTAACTGCAAATAGAGCTGGAAAATATTAAGCTTGTTTTAAGAGATGCTGAAACATTTTTAAAACAGTATAACAATCCCCCCACCCCCCACCCCCCGGAATTGGACTTAGTGGGTAGATGGAAGCATCTAAATATTAACTTTTCTAAAGATTATCCTACATAAGTTATGTGCTGCTTATTTTCCAGATTTAAGAAAACGCACATCTGCACCACTTTGTCTAAAAAACAAGAAACTAAAATGAATAAGCCAATGTTTAATTTTTAATATTAAAAGTAACATAAGTTATGGACACTGTACTAAACACTTCCATATTCTGGATTTTTGACCCTGTTTTTTTTAACCTTTTCTTCTCTTACATGACTGTCTATATACAGTATGTAAACAGTTCTGGACATAACTACTATGCTGTTTGCAGTACCTCATTTTTATTTTGTATTACTGCCTGTACAGATTCTGTGAAATGGTCATGTTCTGGATAGGTACATGTGGACTTCTGTAGTATTTAAATGTTACTTGAATTTGTGCTTTATTATAGTATGTGGCATGTGTGTACAGCTGCTTGGCATTTGCCCTATAGATGCTATTGCCTGCCTAGCAGGAAGGCTTTAACTCAGAAAAAAACAAGCAGAGGATGGTTCAATTCTCAGTGGATTTATGAAATAATAAAAAAAAATCTGCAGCTGACCTGCCCCTTTTTAAGAAATTGCTTTTATCTTATTTCACAATAAAGAATTATGGAGTGAGCTGTTCACTTTGAAGATGGTGCTGAGTTGGTGCTAATGTTGAAGGATTTTTTTTTCTTTTTCTTTGGAAGGGGGAATGTTTCGAGAAAGTGATATGCATGGCGGGATTTCACTGCCTCTGGTGTTTTGATTGTAATGTATTTGGTTTGATGTTTTGTCCAAAAATTCTTCAGTAAGTAAATAAATTGTGAACTGCATATTGAAATAACTTGTTTCTTTTATTTCTGTGGTGTACTTTTGTTCCCGTCTTAAATAACTTCTCAAAACAGTGGTAACCGTAACTTTGTTTTAATATGGGATATTTGGGTAAGTGAATTTATCCAAATGTATGCTGGCCAGCTATGTACCCCCTAAATGTTATCATATAAATAAATATATAAAATATATACTGTATATATAAAAACATGGCTGTAGTCAGTGTTGATACTTAAGAATTTGTCAGCAAAAATAGTGTAATGCATCTCTAATAAATTCCAATCTGTGCATTAGGTGTCTTTGAATGCAAGCAATGTTTCATCATCTACATATCCAATAATACAGTATACGCTGAATTTTAAGCCTTTTCAAATCCATAGAATATAAATTGCAATAATTATACATTATGAAAGGTATTACAATGATAACCTAAGTATTGGTTACCATCATCCACATAGAGTATAGTGTATAGTTTTCTATAGAAGATTAAGGATATAAATAGCCTCCTGTATTGGGTGAAATATTTTCACTGAATGGTCAGTTTCAAGATATTTTTGTACCTGGTTAAAAAATAACATCTATAAAGCTTTCAGTTTAAACAATTTCACTATAAACATGTTCACAGTGGCTTTCTGGTTTATTGGCAGTAGGTGCTGTACACAAAAGAGGACCTTAAGACTAGAGAAAAACAAGCAATCCATGAACTGCCTGAAACATGGAAGGTAATATAGAGCTTCTAAATTATGGATTAGGCCTGTCTGTGAAACATAATTTGGTTTTACTTTTTTCAACCAGGATATAATGCACAGTGGTTAGTATTGCTGCCTTGCATGCTGGGGCCCTGGGTTCTGTTCCTGGGGTGCTGTCTGTGTTGTGTTTGTATGTTCTCCCAGTTTTCGCATTGCTTCAGTTTCCTCCCACAGTCCAAAGACATACTGATAGGATAATTGGCTTCTGGGTAATTGGCCCTGTGTGAGTGTGCCTATTCTGCCCTTTGATGGACGGGGATCCGACTCCCCCAATAACTACAGTAGAACTGGATTAAGCGGTTAGTAAATGGATGGATGAATGAGCGTGTGTTTGCTTGTGTGCCCTGCATCCGGCTTCCCCCATGAAACTGAACTGGATAAAGCAGTTAGAAAATAGATGGATGTCTAGTAATTGAATGCAATGGCCTGAAGATTTTTTTTGCGGTTCAAATCTGCCTGCACCTTTTACACATATCTTTTGAAAAAATCCCCCAGCTTTTAAGTTGATTGATGTAAAATTTTAATCAGGTTTTAAAAATAAGATCTGTTTGCACCATTCCTGACTCATATGCTTTTTTTTAATATGAGTTAAAAAAACACAGTTAATAAACTGTGACTTTTGAAATCATTATGAATGCACATTTTAATTTTCCTTTTCCTGAAAAATCCAGCACTTGAATTCTTAAAATGTAGTCCACATTCCTCAAGGGCTTACCTGTAGAAACTAGTCTTAGAACTAAAGGCTAGCTCTATAAAAGTCCCAGTTGATTTTAAAATTGTAAATGTGAAATGGTATTTTGCTGTCACACAAAATTAGTAAACTTCTATGAAGATTTTATGTCTTAAAGTATTAATCCTCACGCTTGGTCTTGGAAAGAGATAACTGCACATTTAATGCAGATCTCCTACCCCTCAATTACCAATGAATGGAAACGGTTATACAGTAGTTAAGGACAATTAAATCAATCATTGACTCAATAAATATAATTAAGATCTCAGATGCAATAACAACCAGGAGACCCTGTGGTTCTATTGGACCAGCAGCACGGGTTGATATTAATATTGTGTATTGGGGCCCTGTGTTCAATTCTATATCTGGGTTTTTGCCTGACTTTCCTCTGGGTGCTGCAGTTTCCTCCCACAGTCCAAACATATACAGTACTGGAAGGTTAATCATCTTGGAAAATTAGCTCTGGTGTGAATGTGTGTGTCTGTGTTTGTGTCTGTTTGCATTGCAATGGACTGGCATCCCGTCCAGGGTGCATTTGGACTTCATTTATTTGGTTCATCAAATACCTTTACATTCAATTGTTTATTTGTATTTTTCAAATCAAATCTTTATATTTTTATATAGTAGAATGGGGTTAGAAATGAGCATGAACCATTTGCTACATGCTCGGTTTTAGCTCTCCCCAGATTTTTCCTGACCCCAGGGTCTCCAGAGATGAGAGCAAAGGAGGCACAACAGCCTGTGACCCCAGAGTTTCTAGAGGTAAGGTAGGTGCCATTCTTGTCATAAAGACCTGACACAGATGGTGACATACTTTAGCCCAAGCCTCCAGAGTATGATAAACAGGACTGACTGCCAATCTCTGGACAACTAGGTGACATATCTCTCCCTACACTCTCCATTAAAGGGAAAGGTTATCTCCAGGGTAAAAGCTTCCTATACAGAACAAGAGAAAATCTGGAACTGTTGTCCTTTTTCTTAATGTAAGAGGTGGAACGTGTACCACATGCTGTTAGTTTTTGCTGATGGAGAAGGCTTTTGATCTGGGAAGATGGCTATATGAGCTGTCTCCATCTGGCCTCCCCCATTATTTATGCAGACAGGTTGACACAGGTTGATCCTTTCTCCATGGGTTTGAACTGAAAGGGGAGAAGATTTAGTAAGAGGACTTATGAATGGGCTGCAGACAGGTGAACTGACCAGCCACTAGAGACCACTATACAGCCTCTAATTGTCCAGAATAGCCACACTGGTGTTAATATTCTCATTACTGGATTATTGATGATTGGTCTGGAAATGCACATTGTCACATGGGTGTAATTAAGCTTTAGTTTGGTATATTAAAACGTGAGCATTGTGGTGGTATGGATTGGGATTTATGAGTGATTTTATGTTGTTAGAGCATGAAAAGGCACACAAAATGCCTGTTGAACTTCACTGCTGCAGTTGTCATGTGTTTTTTTGTGTGTGTGTAGACCCCCTGGACTGCCCATCTCCTGTCAAACTTACCTTTGGAATGTTATTTTTATAGTGATGTAGAAAGGTTTGTTTAAAATGTTTAAACTGTTTCCAGGATTTTAGGGATAATTTCAAAACTTATTACAAGAAACCAGCATGTTATGCATAACTTATACAATATACTAATTATACCTCTATAACAAATAGAGAAATTGCTCAATATTTTTCAAGATAAAAAGCACTGGACTGCTCTGTTCTCCAAATGTACACTTTGAACTCTTGTGTATGTGTACTGTATGTGTATGTACACAAATGTGTATGTGTACATATGTGTATGGTATGTACACAAATGTGTATGTGTATATACAGTATATGTATGTGTACATATGTTTATGTGTATGTGTACATTTGTATATGTGTATGTGTACATTTGTGTATGTAAATGTATGCAAATGTCTGTGTTATACAGTATGTATATGTGTACATATGTGTATGTGTACATTTGTGTATGTGTTCAAGCAGAATATATGCTCAAAATATGTTCAATCGGATCACAATTTTAGCTCTATGATCCAGGCAACACTGTTTTGAGTCACCGATGACTGTGACTGGGCTTCCCTTAGTGGCTGCACACATTTAACAGAGTATTGCCAAGTTAATGTGTTCATTAACTGGTTTGGGGTCTTTCAGCTTTTCAGTAAAAGAAACAACCGGGACTTGCCAGGCATCTGCAGTCATCAAGTAATGTGAATGAGAGATGTTCTGCTCCTTCTAAGGCTGCTAACTCCCCTGTGGAGCTTGAAGCATATAAAAAATGGGTGGATCTGATCTGTAGATCATGTCTATGGAAGATAATTCTCCCCATATACTGTAATTATGGGGATCGTTGCCTTAATAAAGTCTTAATATTTAATATGTACCTTCATATAATCCATCTTTCAAAATTAAGATCTTTATTAAGGTTGGACACTCTTCTCCACATTTACAGGGCCATGAACCTACAGTATCTATCTCACTCCAGGATTTAGATGTCAGATGCTTCAATCACCACGTTTGGCCATCTTAAATTGGCTTTCATATTTGATATTTTTATTGATGTCAATTTGGAAAGCATGTTAATTTACAAATCACACTATAAACAATATAAAATATTATTGGAATGTCAATCTGCTATCTTCTGATTCTGGAATAGTTATAAACCAGGTTAGGATGTTCAGTACTGAAGTTGTTTCTTCAGTTAGTTACATCCTCATTTGTACAACTATTCAAGATAACAACTTGTGGCAAACATGCTCCTGCTGGTGTTTTTAAACTCTTGGAATTCAAAAGAAACAAAGTGCTCACTCTCTGAAGATTAATGAAATACCCACCTGATTACGTATCGCCCCATAAATAAAAAACAACATAAAGTATCACCATAAAGCTAAATGCACTGTCAGGATTTTATGCTGGATTATGCTGTGAACTCCTAAAATTACATATGCATGTCATATACAATTAATCAAAAGTAACCAAATCAAATTATTGTAAGCAGTATGCTGCATTTCTTAAAACTAGTGATGAGGTTGCAGCAGTCATTCAGGTTGTCACAGCCACTCTATAGTTAAAGGAAAGGACGTTTGTTGCATTTGACGTTTCTTTTTCCATCTTTGCATATTGTCTTCTGGAATAATCCACTCAGATCACATAGTGTCTAAGAGCGTACCTATAAAATGTAATCTGTTTCTAATTATGCTTTACATTTTTCCTTTACCTCACAATATTGCAAATTAATGTTTAAACTGGTAGTAGAATATCAGAACTGAAAAACCTGTTGCTGTGATACTGTATACTGTGGAGTATAATGAGAATTTACATAACATTACAGGCTATAACTCTTGCCTGTATTTATTAGATTTAACACACCATACTATGATTGTTCACCATCAAAATATTTTTCATAGAATTGTAAACTGTTCATTTTGCACAGTTAGTGTAATACTGATGAAGATGATGTTCCCTTGATGAAAAAACATGGGTATCCAAGCACACAAGTCAAAGCTAGCTCCAAAACAGCAGAAAATAAGAGGAGTG